TCTTGGTTCTTACACATATTGTTGAATTTGTCTTCCATTCTTTTCATCCACCTTATGACCATTTCTCTGAATTCTTTCTCTGACAGGTTGCTTGCCTCCATTTCGTTTACTTCCTTTTCAGGTGATGCCTGTTTTTCCTTCAAATTCGAGCTGTTTCTTTGTCTCCCCATGATCTCTCTTCTCCAGGTGTCTGGTTATGTAGTTCTCTCCTTATCCCAGGCGAAATCTGACCTTTCCGTGAGGGGGTACAGAGCTCCTCCGAATCCACGTGCTCGCGCCGCTTGGGGACCGGTGTTCCCGGGTTCGCAGCTGTTCGCTGGGTGCTCTTGTTGTAGATTCCTGGGATTTTCAGGCTTCCGACAACATCCACTCTCCCCTTCAAGATGGCGTGGTCTCCGCGTCAGAGCTGGTTGCTCCGGGAGGGATCCCAGCAGCAGTGGAAGCTGTCCGGTCAGGGGAACCCCATCTGGCAACCCCCCACAGTCCCCTGGAGTATAGCTGTCCCTCAGCTCACAAACAAACACTCCCCGTGCGACCACACACTCTCCCTTCGTTCTCTCACTCACGCACTATCTTGCAGTCTGCCTTCCCGTAGGCAACCATCTTCCTTCTCTCTCGACAGGATCTTTATAAAGCTCCCTTCCAGTTCTGATATTCTACCATCTGAGGCTTCTCGCATCCGTTAGGTTGTTTCCTGTAAGAAAAGTTGAGTCAGATGATCTTAGGCTTTTCTGGAAATTTTTTTTTTCTGCTGATGCTCTGTCTTTTCCCTGTTCAAAAGCCTCTGGCCAGCCGTACCGTGGAGGCAGAAGGGAGCCCTGGGCTCTGTCCTTGGGGCATTCTCTCCACAGGGGTAGGAGAGGGACAAAGAGAAAAGGCAGAGAAGTGATACGGGGAAACACAGCCTGGACTTACGGATGGGGGGTTGGGGGGGGGGGGGGGTCCAAGCTCACAGAACTCTGTACAGATGGAGGATGCAGGGAAGTAGAGCGGACCCTGACACAGGATTATGCCTCTGTTTTATTCAGTACATATTATCACATACCTGCTTGGTGTGCTGGTGAGCCAGACAGGTTACCCTATCATATGCATAAAAATGAAAAATTTAACCATACGCTATATCCTGTTTGTGGGTTTTTTAAAAAACATGTGCATATATTATTTTTATTGTTGTTAGTCCTCACCTGAGGATAGTTTTCCATTGATTTTTAGAGAGAATGGGAGGGAGAGGGAGAGGTAGAGAGAAACATCCATGTGAGAGAGAAACATTGATTGGTTGCCTCCTGCATGCACCCTGACCAAGGCCGGGGGAACCTGCAACCAAGGTATGTGCCCTTGACCGGAATCGAACCCGGGACCCTTCAGTCTGTGGGCCGACCCTCTATCCACTGAGCCAAACCAGCCAGGGCCATATATTACTTTTTAATCAAAAGTTAATGTGCTTTCAACGCTTATTAAAGTTTTACCTTTCATTTGATAAGCAGTCGTGTGCCTCCCACTCCCACCCCGATACCTCTGGCTGAAACAATTTGAACATATTTTTTATTCAGGTTTTTTTTTCTTTAATGTTGATTATAATGTTTTCTTTAATGTTGATGAATCAGGCAACTGATTCATCAAAGGATCCATCTAAGACCATCAAAGGGCCCCACTTTCATTTTAAAAAGCACGATGCAAGATAGTCCTGGGTTTAGACTGGTCTTTCACTGCCTTGCCGTGACCTTGGGCACTCTTCTGCCCCCTTTGAACTTGAATGGAAAGTTTGGCGATGACCTAGAAGGCCTCACCTGCACCTAGCGATTTATGGTCTCCAGTTGTCCCTGTGGAGTAGGAATCCAGCGTGATGATCATTTCCCAGGGTAGATGCTCCTCCTTCCTGTTCCCTTCGTTCCTGAACATCATCATGTTCTTTTGTGAGGCTGAGTTAAATATTACACGTTGTTGCTGTTTTACTCACCCTTATCCCGACTTGAAGATTCTAGAAGGCAGGGAATACGTCTTGCTAGATCTCAGCACATAAAGGCTGCTCAGTAAAAGTTTGTTGAATGAAGAGTTCGCTCTGTGTGAAGGACTGAGGAACGGCTTTTACAGAGAAAGTAGGATTTGAGCTAGATGGAAGTACTGTAATTAACATCCAGTTGGTGAGCAAGGAAGGGGAGGGTACAGGAAACAGAATTAGCAGAAACATGGAAGCATTATAAAATATGGCGTGTTCAGCAAACAGCAAATGATTCAGAAGGTAGGGATGGAGGTGGGAAAGATCATGTGTTTGGAAAGGTTTAGGGTTAAGTTGTGAAGGGCTTTTTATTTTTATTTTTAAATCACTGTGCTTTTTAAATTTTATTATTTTTTTTATTTTATTGATTTTTTACAGAGAGGAAGGGAGAGGGATAGAGAGTTAGAAACATCGATGAGAGAGAAACATCAATCAGCTGCCTCCTGCACACCCCCTACTGGGGATGTGCCGGCAACCAAGGTACATGCCCTTGGCCGGAATCGAACCTGGGACCCTTCAGTCTGCAGGCCGACACTCTATCCACTGAGCAAAACCGGTTAGGGCAGGGCTTTTCTTTTTAAAAAAATTATTTTGAGAGAGAGAGAGAGAAAGAGAAGCATCAATTTGTTTCACTTATTGATGCATTCATTGGTTGCTTCTTGTATGTGCCCTGACGGGGAATGGAACCCGAAACCTTGGGGTGTGGGGACGATGCTCTAGCCCAGCGGTCACCAACCTTTCAGACCTCACGGACCACTGGTTGGCGACGGCTGCTCTAGCCAACTGAGCTACCTGGCCAGGGCTTTATGGCTGTGCTGGAGTTACTTTATCATGGAGGCTGTGGGAAGAAGTTTTTAGAGAAGTAGCAGGCTCCAGATGTGTGCTCAGAAGAATACTTCTTAGAGCAACAGGGAGAGGAGATTAGAAGCAGGACACAGGCTTTATAGGCTATGGTAGAGTCCAGGCGAGAGGTGACGAGGGCTTTGGTGAAGGTAGAATTAAAAGACCTATTTGGTCCCCACACAGTGCTGTGGGGCTGTGTGATCACCCTCCAGGAGGTTCACCTGCCTCATTCCCTTGATACCTGGCCATTGTTGTGTGGGACAGAATTGTTATTAATGTATCGTGGTTTTTGTGTTCCTTTTGACTCTTAACATTTTATGATGTATCCCCAGTGATTTTCTCCACTTCTGTTTGACAGGAAACAGAATTGAAGTTGCCTTTTCACTAAATGGACACTATCTTGAAGGCGTATTATAAACTAGAGGCCCGGTGCATGAAAATTCTTGCACTGGGAGGGGGAGGGGGTCCCTCAGCCTGGCCTGTGCCCTCTCGCACGGGAGCCCTTGGGGGATGTCCAAGGAGTGGGCCTAAGCACAGTCTGGCCTCCTTCTGCGGGAGGCGACTGGCAGGCCCCGCCCCCGATCACCCCTCTGCCACCATCCCCTCTCTCTGCCCGCTGGCACCTTCTTAGGCTGGCCTGGCAGTGCCCACTTGCCGGCCTTGCCCCCCACCCACTGGTCGTTCCACCATTCAGTCAATTTGCATATTAGGCTTTTATTATATAGCATTACATTCTTGGACTGTATGGTAATAGGATGCTGGCCATTTTCTGTGTTGGGTCCAAGAAGTACATTATTGTGCCATTTGATCCTTTAGTGTAGAAATCAACTTTCCTTCCTCCTGATTTCCCTTAGATTTATTTCTGAATGCCTCCTTTAGAATAACTTGAGGTTCTTTGTCATTTCATTTTAGCTGTGGGAGTCCCCAGACCACCTTGGATACTGGACAGTATGTGAACTGCTCCAGCACCTGGGGGGCACCGTCTTGCCGTTGGAGACTTTGAGCCCGGATGGTACGAAAGCTGGGGAGACCCTGTTCTCACGTGAGCCTCACCCCTCCTCGTGGGTGTCAGCTCTGCCAACAGACTCCATCTTAAACTGTGTGCTCTATAATTCTCCTGAGTATGAAGCCTCATTTCCACGGACGGAAGGAACGTTATTTCTCCCTGTTGAAGGTAAGCAAATAATGTTTGGGGGAGGGGGGTTGTGGTGTCAGTTATATTCATTTCTTTAATGCAGGGGTCCTCAGACTTTTTAAACAGGGGGCCAGTTCACTGTCCCTCAGACCGTTGGAGGGCCGGACTATAGTTTTAAAAAAAAACTATGAACAAATTCCTATGCACACAGCGGCGGCAAAAACACCCGGTGGGCTGGATAAATGTTTTCGGTGGGCCGCATGTGGCCCGTGGGCCATAGTTTGAGGACCCCTGCTTTAAGGCAGGCCTATGCTTTCAGATTCTCTAGAACAGTGATTCTGAACCTTGGCTGCACATAAGAATCACCTGGGAATCTTTTTTAAATCCTGATTTCTGGGCCTCATCCTCTGAAAATTCTGTTTCTTTGTTATGGGTGGGGACACAATATTAGTAACAAAGAAACAGAATTTCCAGAGGATGAGGCCCAGAAATCAGGATTTTAAAAAGATTCCCAGGTGATTCTAATGTGCAGCCAAGGTTGAGAACCACTGCTCTAGAATTTCCACAGCCCAGGCACTCTGTGTTTGTAATTAAAGTATGTCTGAGCCAAGTCAGGTGCCACAGGGAAGGATGGAACTCGGGTGTGGTACACCTGCCAGCGTTGTGTAAGAAGGCGAGCGAGTGACTTCAAAGAGCTGCTCAGCTGTGTGCAAAGAAAATAATATTGCCCAGGTGCCCAAGCAAATGGGTGGTGAGGTTTCATTGCCTCCTGGAAGAGACTGATGAAGTGGGAGACCACGGTGAGACTATGATTGATAACAAGTTAGTCAAAGGGAGCTGAAAGTGGTTATCAGGAAGAGCCAGTATGTGGAATCTTCCTTACTTTCCTTTGCCGTATTATTCACTATATAGCGAGTCTCATTTTTGAATCATTCACACAGAAGTAATACTATATAGAGATGTATACATAAAACTACATTAGACATTATTTGCAGTTTAAGAAATTTTTTTAAAATATATTTTTATTGATTTCAGAGAGGAATGGCAAGAAAGAGAGAGATAGAAAAATCAATAATGAGAGTGAATCATTGATCAGCTGCCTCTTGCATGCCTCTTACTGGAAATCAAGCCCACAACCCAGGCATGTGCCTTTGACTGGAATCGAACCCAGGACCCTTCAGTCCGTAGGCCAACATTCTATCCACTGAGCCAGACCAGCTAGGGCTAAGGAAATTTCAAGAGTGGTTTGGTTTAGTCCTAACTGGTTTGGCTCAGTGGATAGAGCGTCGGCCTGCAGACTGAAAGGTCCCAGGTTTGATTCCGGTTAAGGGCATGTACCTTGGTGCGGGCACATCCCCAGTAGTGGGTGTGCAGGAGGCAGCTAGTCGATGTTTCTCTCTCATCGATGTTTCTGACTCTATCCCTCTCCCTTCCTCTCTGTAAAAAAAAAAACCAATAAAATATATTAAAAAAAAAAAAAGAGTGGTTTGGTTTAAGCAGTTTCATCTTTAGAATTTAATCTCCTCATAAGATATGTTGTGTACTGTATTTTATGGATTTAAGAAGTGATGTCTTGTTCTAGCTGGTTAGGCCCAGTGGATAGAGTGTCAGCCTGTGGACTGAGGGTCCCAGGTTTGATTTCAGTCAAGGGCACGCACCTCGGTTGCAGGCTTCCGGCCTTGGTTGGGGGGCGTGCGGGAGACAACCAATCGATGTGTCTTTCTCCCATCTGTGTTTCTGTGTCTTTCCCTCTGTCTTCCACTCTCTCTAAAAATCAATAGAAAAATATTCTTGGGTAAGGATTAAAAAATAAAGCCGAAACTGGTTTGGCTCAGTGGCTAGAGCAGGGGTGGGCAAACTTTTTGACTCGAGGGCCACAATGGGTTCTTAAACTGGACTGGAGGGCCAGAACAAAAGCATGGATGGAGTGTTTGTGTGAACTAATATAAATTCAAAGTAAACATCATTACATAAAAGGGTACGGTCTTTTTTTTTTTTAGTTTTATTCATTTCATACGGGCCAGATCCGGCCCGTGGGCCGTAGTTTGCCTACGGCTGGGCTAGAGCGTCGGCCTGGGGACTGAGAGGTCCCAGGTTCGATTCCGGTCAAGGGCATGTACTTGGGTTGCGGGCACATCCCCAGTGGGAGATGTGCAGGAGGCAGCTGATCGATGTTTCTAACTCTCTATCTCTCTCCCTTCCTCTCTGTAAAAAATCAATGAAATATATTTAAAAAAAAATAAGTAAAATACTTACTATTAAATCTACTTTTAGTAACTGTTTATTACATTCCGATTTTAATGTTCTTTATTTCTAACAGGCAAAGAGACTCAAGAAGCATGGACAGTCATCCTAGAGCCCTTGGCCGTGCATCAGAGACATTTTCAGAAACCAGTCAGAATTTTCCTGAAAGGCACGGCCACCCAGTGGTCTCTCCCCACGAGTGGCACTTTGGGCACTGATAGCTGGATGCTGCAGAGTCCAGAGGAGAATAAGTCAGCCCACAGGACGTTGTTTCAGCAGCTGGTCCACAGGCTGACTGCCGAAGAGTTACATCTGGTAGGTCTCTGCCACACGCTAGGTCATGCTTGTCTAATAAAGCGGTCGCCAGCCGGTGGCCCTCGGACCACTGGAGGTCGGTGAGGTCCGAGAGGTTGGCAACCGCTGGTTTAAGGAAACCTTTGGAGCAGCGGTCGCCAACCGGTGGTCCGTGGGCCACTGGTGGTTCGTGAGATCCAAAAGGTTGGTGACCGCTGGTCTAAATCATTGGTAAAGGGGAATAAGTGTGTTTGTGAAACACCCAGGGTTGTCCTCTATAATATCGTCTCAGTGAAACAGGTGATGCTTTTGTAAATAATATTAATATTGTCTACATTGTAGATCACGACAATGCTCATCAGTGAAGAAACAGTTTATAACATTGCATGTACCTGGAATCCCATTAAGCTAAATTATATTCACATAAGAAAAAAAGCCATGGGCCAAATGCAGTGACTGTATTCGGGTGGTGAAGTGATGGGACAGTAGCCCCCCTTATCCACGGCTTCACTTTCCACGGTCAAATGTCTGAAATATTAAATGAAAAATTCCAGAAATAAACAGTTCATACAGTCTGGTAGGTCTCTGCCACACGCTAGGTCATGCTTGTCAAATACAGCGGTCGCCAACCGGTGGCCGCGGACCACTGGAGGTTGGTGAGGTCCGAGAGGTTGGCAACTGCTGGTTTAAGGAAACCTTTGGAGCAGCGGTCGCCAACCGGTGGCCAACCGGTTTCACCTTCCACGGTCAAATGCAGTCTGTATTAAATGGAGAAATAAACAGTTCATACAGTTTTTTCTTTTGTTTGTTTTGTTTTAATATATTATTGATTTCAGAGAGGAAGGGAAAGGCAGAGAGAGATAGAAACATCAATGATGAGAGAGAATCATTGATTGGCTGCCTCCTGCACACCCCCTATTGGGGATCGAGCTCGCAACCCAGGCATGTGCCCTTGACCGGAATCGAACCCAGGACTCTTCAGTTCACAGGCTGACACTCTATCCACTGAGCCAAACTGGCTAGGGCAACAGTTTATATGTTTTAAATTGTGTGCTGTTCTGAGTAATGTGATGAACTCTCCAGAAGTCCTGCCTGGGACTCCAATCATCCCCTGTCCAGCGTCTCCATGCTGTGTACAGCCCCACCCATTAGTTTAGTAGCCAGTTCGGTCATCAGATCGACTGTCTCATGTCACAGTGCTTGCGTTTTAGTGACCCTGATTTTAATAATGGTCCCAAAGTGTAAGGCTAGTGATGGCGACAAATCAGAAATGCCAAAGAGAAGCCGAAAAGCGCTTCCTTCAAGTGAACAGATGAGGACAATACAGTGAGGTATTTTGATATAGAGAGAGAGCATTCTCATAACTTTTATTGCAGTGTATTGTTGTAAGTGTTCTATTTTATTGTTAGTTATTGCTGTTAATCCATTACTGTGCCTAATTTATAAATTAAACTTTATCAGAGATCAGAAATGCCAAAGAGAAGCCGAAAAGCGCTTCCTTCAAGTGAACAGATGAGGACAATACAGTGAGGTATTTTGATATAGAGAGAGAGCATTCTCATAACTTTTATTGCAGTGTATTGTTGTAAGTGTTCTATTTTATTGTTAGTTATTGCTGTTAATCTATTACTGTGCCTAATTTATAAATTAAACTTTATCAGAATGGTTAGGAGGATTCAGTGGATTATAATAAATACATAATACATGCTCAATAGGCCTGGCTGGAATGGCTCAGTGGTTGAGTGTGGACCTGTTAACCAGGAGGTCACGGCTCAATTCCCGGTCGAGCCACATGCCTAGGTTGCGGGCTCGATCCCCAGTAGGGGGCGTGCAGGAGGCAGCCGATCAATGATTCTCTCTCATCATTGATGTTTTTATCTCTCTCTCCCGCTCCCTTCCTCTCTGAAATCAATAAAATAAAATTTAAAAAAAAATACAGGCTCAATAAATATTCCTAGTATATTTAGCCTTTTCTTAGTTGTAAATCGAGGAGTTAGGATTACATAATCAGTAAGTTCAGTTCTTGCACTAATATCCACCAAGCCTGTGTCTTCCATAGGTTTTTATATTAATAAGCATCTGGGGAAACTGTCATTGCCTTTTATTGCTGTGTTCTCCTTTACGCACGTCAGCAATGTTCTCAACCAGCTGGAACTTCTCCTGTAGGTCGCCAGTGTGGACCCCGGTGACGGCTGGCCCCCCGTCACAGGCGTTATTTCCCCCCTCTCTACCAACACTACGGTTCTCACCGTGTTTCGCACTGAGGAGGCTACATTTCAGAGGCGTTTCCTCCAAACAGCTGTGGCTGAGAACCCCCTGGACACCGCGTCCCTTTGTTCCGATGTTATGGGTGTCGTACTGAGTCCGACCCCCTGTTTGTTGGAAGACCCTACCACCTCCGGTAAGTTTGCAACCAACAGCTGACACTCCAGGGCGGTGGCTTCAGGACTTCCCCCCTCTCCCCCATCTGCTCTCAGTAGAACCCCAGTATCTGTTATAAAACAGGTGAAGGCAAACCAGTACTTCAGGCAATTTAAATCGTCATTATTGATAGAATCCTGAAGCGGTCGGAGGAGGCCAAAGGCTCTGTGGAACCGCTTCGAAATTAGAGAATAAGATGAAACCTGGTTTTTAACATATTTACTAAAGACTGCACGTGAACCTGTCAAGATTCTGTCTGCCTTCCAGTTCATGGCATTGTCACTTATGCTAGGTAGATGAAAATGCACTTACCTTGGTATTTCTTCCATTTGTTCATTTATTCAACAGATTTAACGAGTGCCTGCTGCATGTCAGGCGCTGCTCTATGTATTAGGAATAATACACCAGTGAACAGAGTAGACAGAGCTCTCGTTCTCACGGAGTTTACCATTCAGTCGGAAGACAGGACAATAAACTAAATAAGGAAATTATATAGGATATTTGAAAGCGATAAATGCTATATAATAAATAGGAAAAAGGGAATGGGGCAGTTATGGGGTAAGAGGGGTGCCATTTTAAGCAGGCCTGGTTGGAAAGCCATTGAGCACAGGCCTGTAGGGTGCGCCTGCTGTGTTTGAGGCGCAGCGAGGAAGCGTGCGCTTGTGCAGTCAAAGCAGCAGTTTTCATAGACACAGGCCGTGGGAGGAGGTGCAGATGAAGGAGGGTCGCTAATGCTGCGCTTTGTATGTCCTTGGTGAGAAGGCGGTCAGTCCTTGGCAGGCGCAAGAACGGGGATGTCCACTTTGGTTCTCATGCCTCTTTTCCTTCCATCTCTGCTCCGTCCCTGCAGCTCCTCCCTGTCCAGAGTGGGCCCAGCAGGAGCTCGGCCGCACCGCGCCCTGGAGAGCTGCTGTTGCCGAGAGCTGGTTTCCCTGCTCCAACCTCAGTGGCGCCAGTTCGAATTTGATGGAGTCATTTTGGTAAAACTCCTTTTATTTCTCTGGGAATTGATCATTGAAATCAGCTCTCAGTTATCTCGATAGGAGTGGTTTTTTTTATAATAGACACATTTTATGAGTATAGTTCAATAACATTAAAAAGTAATTACATAACTATGGTGCCAGGTGTGTACTAGACTTATTGGGGCTTCACTTTGTAAATCATATAAATGTCTAATTACTATGCTGTACACCTGAAGCTTATATAAAATACTGAGTGTCAACTGTAATTGGGGGGAAAAAAACAATTCTGAAAAGCAAATTTAAAACCAGTAGGATCATATTAAAAACCACTTCTACTGAAATTAAATAAATTTCATAGCTAAAATAATAAATAAATGAAAACTAATTACAAATGGAGAGTGTTGTTTAATGGGTGTACAGTTTCAGTTTTACAAGATGAAGAGAGTGCTGGAGATGGATGGGGTGATGGTAGCACAACATGAATATACCTAATACCTATTTATTTGCACATGAAAGTATGTTGAGTACAATCAAAATTGCAAAAGGATGGTATAGTATATTTTTAAATAATTTACAACATAAAATAGCAGGTTTTGCTGGTTTTAATCCATATGTTGTATGTCTCTATAAATAAGACATAAATTTAGAAATACCTGTGGGAGATAAGGGTGGGAAAAGATTGGGGCTTTCTCTGTGTCTATAATGCTGAATTTTATTAAAAACAAAAGATCTGAAGCAGATATGGCACACTGTTAACAAGTACTTAATCTTGGAGCGAGGTACATACTTACTATTTAATAATGCTTTCTCATCTCTTCTGTATATTTGACATGCCTAAAGTTTAAAAAAACAGGAGAGAAAAGGCAAACTCCCCACTGGTAAAGGAAAACACCAGCATACTTAGGGAGGCTGAGTTTGCTTTAGACCTGCCAGCAGGTTCAACTAATGATACCATAGCTTTTTAAAAAAAATACTTTATTGTTGAAAGTATTACAAATGTCCCCTTTTTCCCCCCATTGACCCACTCCAGCCTGCCTCTGCCCCCCTCCCCAGGCCTTCACCACCCTATTGTCTGTGTCCATGGGCCATGCATTTATGCATACAAGGTCTTTGGTTGATTACCTTCCTCCTCTGCCTTCCCTCTGACATTCCGCCCTCTGTTCCATACTTCTATGTCTCTGGATCCACTCTGTTCATCAGTTGATTTTGTTCATTAGATTCCACATATGAGTGAGGTCATGTGATACTTGTCTTTCTCTGACTGACTTATTTCACTTAGTGATACCCTCTCCAGGTCCCTCCATGTTGTCTCAAAGGGTAAGAGATTCTTTTTCACTGCTGCATAGTATTCCATGGTATAAATGTACCACTGTGTTGTTGTTTTTTAATATATTTTTTTTTATTGATTTCAGAGAGGAAGGGAGAGGGAGAGAGAGAGATAGAAACATCAATGATGAGAGAGAATCATGTATCGGCTGCCTCCTGCACGCCCCCTACTAGGGATTGAGCCTGA